CACTCGATCAGGCCTGGACTCCCACCCCCACCAGCCCCTGGTACAGGAGGCACACCCCCACTGAATGGACGAGAAAAGCACGGCTCAGGAAGCGCAGTGAGTAAGCCGCAGCGGCAGGGGTGGCCCCGGGGCTCCAGCTCCTTCGGTCAGCGCTGAGCCTGGCACTCCAGGGGCAGCAGAGGACCAGCCGAGCTCTCGGGCAGGCCTGCGCTACGGGGTCTCAGCCTCCTGAGCCAGTCGCTGCCCCCCTTGGCCGGCCTAGCCGCGGGGATCCGCTCCACACCCAGGGACTAGAAATCTCTTCCAGACCAAGGCATGGCATATACCAGCGACCAGCATGAGAAATCGCTGGGGGGAGAACATCCACCAACCATCGTTAACCTCCTCCAGGTGCGAAAAATAAAGCCGAGTCCATCCACTGAGGCCTCCTGTGTAATCTGCTACCTTTAGGATGCACTGGAGTCCCAAGAAATCACTCAGCGCTGCCTATCGGCCTCAAATGTTGGTATCAACGGACGTGAGAGGCTGTTTAAACAGATGGCCCTGGGAGAGAGGAGCCTTAGCAATAGGAGAGGCAGCGATCGTCCGAGAGCCGCTCTTAAATATCTGAGGGGCTGTTTAAGAGAAATGATACCCGCCCACTGCGGGCCGGCACCCACGAGAGTGGCTTCCACACCCTGCAAGTCGTCCACTTCACGTCTGTGGCAGTGGAGGGCCCAATCTGGGAGGCGGGTCAGAGCCCAGGCCTGCACGGATTCCCCTTGCTCAGAGCCGGCTGCCAGGACGCCTGGAGCCCAGACTGACGACGAGGCGTCTACACCCCAAGAGTGCTTGGACACAGCCAACTTCCTCCCTCTGAAGCTGCCGGCGGCTCCGAGTCCAACCTCTTAGAAGTGCCTGTGGTGTGCTGTACCCCACGGAGGGTACTGAGGAGACAGGGCGTGCCCTGGGACCCGTACTAAGAAGTTTTCCCTTCTCTTAATACCTTTACTAAAAATGGATTTTTCTGGGCACGTTGGTGGTATGGTGGTTAAGGTGGCTGGATCCCACATGGCTGAATATGCTGTTTGAGTCCCAGACCAGCTGCCGGCGGCTCCGAGTCCAACCTCTTAGAAGTGCCTGTGGTGTGCTGTACCCCACGGAGGGTACTGAGGAGACAGGGCGTGCCCTGGGACCCGTACTAAGAAGTTTTCCCTTCTCTTAATACCTTTACTAAAAATGGATTTTTCTGGGCACGTTGGTGGTATGGTGGTTAAGGTGGCTGGATCCCACATGGCTGAATATGCGGTTTGAGTCCCAGACCCGGTGGCTTGAAAAACACAGCAGGCATGTGTATGTGCCTGCCCAAAATTCCAAAAGGAGAAATGGAAAAGGGACTGAGGCATGACTGTCCCCAGGGGCAGCGCTTTCTCACCTTTCCTGTCTCTATGATGAGCGCATGCATCCTTCGGCAAACTAAACAGTGTTTTAAATTAACTTTTCTTTAAGATGCATTCTTAGTGACCTTTGAACCTTAACTGTTGGAGCCCTGTGGAGGCTTTCTAACAGTGGCCTTGAAAGCGTCGTCTGAGAAGCGCTTCACACTCTCAGAGGACACATCGATGACCATGGCACAAAGGTGATCTTTTCTTTTTTTCTTTTTTCTTTTTTTTGGAGAGGTTTTTTCACTATAGAGCACGTGTGCTCGCCAGACAGACAGAGAGACAAAAAGTGAGAAATCACCCTCCAGGGGGGGATGGTCACGCCGCAATCCCTTCTCCTCCATTCTCCTCTCGGGATCTTGGGCACGCATGCACACGCGCCTGGCGTGAGTTTTAAGCCACCGGGTCTGGGACTCGAACCGCGGTTGACTACGTGGGAGTCCAGCGACATAGCCATTACACTAACTGCTGGTTCCCCAAAGGCGATCTTTTTACTTTAAACAAGCCGAGGTGTGCAGTGATGTCACTGCGGGGACACAAGGCCATGGCATTGTGGCAGAAAGCCTCCAGTGGACTTTGAGGACTGGACAGGGCAAGTCAGGACAGCAGAGAGGAAGAGTTAAAGGAAGGCAAGCCCCGGGCCCAGACCACGCCTGCCTGCTCTCTGCTTGAGTTCAGGCCTTCGGATTCAAGTGTACCTTCTCAAGACTAATCAGAACTGTCACCTCTGATCGCCCCAATCCTCTAGGAGGGACTTGCTCAAAAGGTGTCTCAAAAACTCAGAGCAATTCCCCAGCTCAGCATGGAGTCACAGCTGGCTTCCTGGCCTCCTCCCATGTCAGAAATGAAACGCCTTTTCTAATTATTCAGTTGCTATCAGACCCATCCGGGCACCTGCCACCCACGTCCCTGACAGTGTCCCTGCCGAGGGGGGCAAGCCGTGCCTCTCTGCTCTGGGTGCCTGTGCCTTACCACCCTGCGGCCAAGCTGCAGCCATGGATGGCCAGGTGTGATGGGGTTCCTTGGTGACTTCATCTAAATGGGGAAGCTTCTGTAGCCGCCACATACCCCTGCAGATCCCATTCAGCTCCTTCCAAACGCCCTAGTCCTGTCAGCAGGGCTCCCTCAGGCATGCACACAGACTCCTCGACCACCAAGAGCTGGTTTTACGTTTTAGTCAACTAACAATTCATTTTCACAAAGTTAGAGGCTACACACGGGGTTGACACGGAGCTGTAAGGCAGGATCCGCAGCCAGGGAAGCCCCTCGGTTCCTATGGGGCCCCCAGTGCACGGACGCTCCCCCTTGTCACCACCATTCACCTCCTCCCCTGGATCAGGCTCTGTGGTTGATAATCACTATTTCCACTCCCTCGTGTATACTTTCAGCTCCGTGTCTACAAACTCACTTGGCGAAACCACCACTCCCCACGGGCTCACTCTCCGTCGGCCCTCGCCAGCGGTCAGATGTGGCTGGAGAAAAGCGCATATCCCCACGCTGGCTGGGCCCACCGATCCCCCAGGACTGATCACCTGCTCACACACCTGTGCCACAGAATGCTTCGGTCAGTGACGACCGCACACCCAACAGTCCCTACTCCTGGTGACGTCAGAGCCGGCTAACGTCGTAGCGAGCACTGGCATAAGCCTCCCGCACTGCCAATCACACAGAAGGCCAGCACATACCACTGTGTACACGACACGTACTTGACAGTGACAGTCAGCGGCAGGCCAGGCTTATGTACTTACTGTACTGCGCTTTTTAGCGTGATTTTAGAGTGTCCTCCCACTGGGTCGTCAGAAAAACATGAAAAAAATACATCATGACTCTTCCAACAACCTGATATTTATTAAAAAGAAAAGTCTGGATTGGATTGAAAAAAATGTGGCATATGTACTCTATGGAATACCACTCAGCCATAAAAAATAAGACTCTGACATTTGATACAAAGTGGACGAATATGGAAGACTTTTTTTTTGTTTTTGAGAGGTTTTTGCTATAGGGCGTGTGTGCTCGCTAGACAGAGAGAGACATAGAGACAGAAAGTGAGAAATCACCCCTCAGAGGGGATGGCCACGCCGCAATCCCTTCTCCTCCATTCTCCTCTCGGGATCTTGGGCACGTACGCACACGCGCCCGGCGTGAGTTTAAGCCACTGAGTCCGGGACACAGACCGCGGTCGACTACATGGGAGTCCAGCGACATAGCCATTACACCAACTGCTGATTCCTAGAAGACTTAATGCTAAGTGAAGCAAGCCAGACTATGAAAGACAGAGTTTGTATGTCCCCAGTATATGCCGATTGTCTGCACTCTATAGCAGAAACTGGAAGTTTGAAAGGTATAGCGGTGGGGAGGGCAACCAGAGATACTAGAGAAAGTAAGGAGAGGGGTAAGATGGGTGGGTAATAGAGGGAGGGGAACGGGGGAGAAAAGAAAGTATGTTTAATTGATGAAAAAATGAAAAGCTGTTTGCTGATGATCATGTACATAGTAACGTCTTTGTCTTGACTGATATGCATGGTATTCATGCCATAAAAAAGCAATGTTGTAAAGATAAATGTGATTAAATGTAAATTAAAATAAAACAAAAAAATTACAAAAAGAAAAAGAAAAGTTCAAGGGCCAGCAGGTGGCATGGTGGGTAAGGCTCTGGACTCCCACATGGCCAGCTGTTGTTCGAGCCCCAGCTTTGAAAATCATGCAGCTTGCATGTGCATGTATACTCAAGAATGGAGGAGAAGGGATTGTAGTGTGGCCATCCCTCCTGGGGGTGATTTTTCACTTCCTCTCTCTCTCTCTCTCTCTCTTTTTTTTTTTTTTTGGTCTCTCCCCAGTGAGCACACCCTATGGCAAAAAAAAAAAAAAAAAAAAGAAAGGAAAAGAACGAAAAGGAAAGCTCACTGTAGAATAGTATGTCATGTCACTCACAACAGCCTTGTCCAGTGCATCTTCTCGCTTCCATCATTTCCCTTGCACTTGATTTAATTTCATGTTGTTTAGTTCATCGTGACCTTTCCAGTGGGAGAAGACATAGAGTGGAAGACGCTGGTGTTGATAAGCCTGACCCGGTGCAGACCCAGGCTCGTGTGCATGTTTCTATCTTAGCGGGCATTTTAGACAAGGTGTCACTATGTCATGACCCTCCTGCCTCAGCTTCCCAAGTAGCTGGGACCACAGGCACACGCCACCGCACCTGGCTCTTGGAGTCCCCCTCCAGGGCCCTCATCTCCTTACTGGTCCCTGGTGAGGCCCCAGAAGACAAGGGTCATGGCCACACTGGAGGAGACGAAGGGGTCAGGTGCAACCCTCAGCCGCCACAACGTTGGATTTTCCTCAACAGTCTCAGCATACGATTCCGTATCGGAGCCTCATTCACCTCTGGGAGCCGGGAGGCTCCTCAGTTAAGTCGAGCAAGTAGAAGTAGCCTCATTCACCTCTGGGAGCCGGGAGGCTCATTTAAGTCGAGCAAGTAGAAGCCCCCAAAGCAGCCAGCTCACAAGCAAACTGAACCCATCTCCCCCCCCGGGAGGCAGCCCCCACTGCCCGGGACGAGGGCACGGCCGTGGTGAAGGATACTGAAGCTCCTGTCCGTGATGGCCAGGTGCCAGAGGTTGATGCGCAGGTCGTCTGCCGACATGTACGTCTCGCAGTCGCTGTTGACGGAGATGGAGTTGATGTGGTAGGTGTGGCCATTGGCAAAGATCCTGCGTGGGCTCACCTCCACCATCAGGTCCATGGGCTTCAGCACGGGCACCTGCAGGGGAAGGGAGGACCATCAGAGAAAGGGCAACACCAAGAGGGGGAAACCAGAGGGCTACCAAGGTGTAGTGTCAGAGAACGGCCCGTGGCCCAAACCGGAGGCTGGGAGCGTGCGAGTGGGCCTCTATCCAGATCTTGCGTGGCTTGAAATACACAATGACAACGGCCAGTGTCCATCACCCTCCGGCCTGCAGAAAGGCGGCCTGCTTTACTCAGTCTCGAGACTGCCTAACGCTTGTGGGCCGAGGTGGCTAAGTGGAGGATGCACTTTCTCTGCCTGGAGGGTGAGGACCCAAACCGGCGGGATGGAGGCACAGGGGTGGGGACGGAAGGGGTGTGTGAGCCTGGAGGAGAGCTGGGTGTAGCCAGGAACAGCTGCGCCAGGCCTTTCATGGTGGAGCCCGGGAAACTCGGGGTGCTTGTTACAGCTGCCGAGTTCCCTGCCTCCTGCAGGCCCCTAACTCAGGGCTGGTATGAGGACTCGCTGCAGGGCACATGGAACCGTGGGCTCTACTTCCCCCGGTGCCTCCTCCTGAGATGCTCTCCCACTCTGGACTACTCGTCAACTCTGGCTCCTCCTCCAAGACCAGGGCCGCCAATCCCTCTGGTGGCGTGCAGCCTGGCCTGCAGGGCCCACCCTGTGCATGCCCAGCATGCCATGCACACCCCTATGGGGCTCTTGTCACGCACTGCAGCGTGCATGCCTCTGTCCCACTGGAGTACGACTCTGTCCCAGCAGAAGTGAGGTCTTTGGAGGTGCAGACATGGCCTCACTGATCTCTCAAGGCCCAGCCCGGGTGCTCAGGAAATGGAGGCTGGCATTGCCCTCCCCACGTCACTGACGAGAGGGCCCAGTGACCTGACCTGTCCAAGTCAGAGTGAGGCAGTGACAGAGGCAGGACTGTCACCCAGGTGTGACTGCTCTGAGGGCAGGGGGGAAGGAGTGGGCTCTACACCTTGAGAGCTGAAGCCACCAGCCGTCCCTTTCACTGGGCGTCCCTCTTGTCACCTCCGCCTCTTTATCCATCACGGGGGTAATGATGGCGTCTGCTGGGCTCCTCGAGACTTCGGTGAGCACAGGCGGGCCCAGGGGCCTACAGTGCACTGGGCACATGGGGAGCTCGTAACCTGGCCGCTCAGGCTTTGCCAACTGAGTGCAGGGCTGGTGCAGGGCAGCAAGCACCACATGGGGGCACGTGGCCGCAAGCAGCACCCGGTGGGCGCAGGCCACGGCAGACTGGCTAGTCAGACCCAAGTCAGAGAGAGACACTGAACGGTGTGTGTGTGTGTGCGTGTGTGCACATGTGTGTGCGTGTGTTACAGGGTTATGGGCTGGTCATGCACTTGCATGTGTATGTGACTTTAGGTAGCAATACGTGTTAAGGAGGAAAATAAAGCAGAGTAAGGGGATAGGGCATGGGGGGAGGAACGAGGGCAGCCAGGGGGTGGTGTCTGAGAAGGGACTAAAATGGGCCATGTGGGTTGGACCCGGGGTGCTGTGGGACCCACGAGAGGAGGCCTTCCTTCTCCCAGGACACCCCCCTGACCTCACCTTGCACTCGGGCTAAGCCAGGAGCCCCTGGACCTCCCATGGCCACGTAGGTCCCTCGTCCCAGCCATGAGCAGCATGAGGCTGTCTCCGCTCCGGTCTGTTCTCCAGGGGACCAGGACCAGTCGGGTACACTGTGTCTTCTCCGGTCTGTTCCCCAGGGGCAAGGACCAGTCGGGTGCACTGTGTCTTCTCTGGTCTGTCTCTCTCTGTCGCTGGTCCTTGGTCAAGGGCCCAGCACAGCGAATGAGAGACCTGGCTGATGAATGAATGATGGGTGTCCCTGATCTCCCAGGGGACCACTGAGATGGGCGGTGACGGTCCCAGGGCTGTAGCAGGACCGGTGAGCTCCAAGCTTCTGGGGCGCCGATGCGGCTCTACGGGGTGTGTGCCGTGCTCGATGTTTGTGTGTGAGTGTGCGCGTGTGCGAGTGCCCGGCCACAGTGGCATGCATGTGTGCCTGGCTCTGGATGGCCTTGGTGTCACCTCCTGTGTCTGCGTGCTTCTAGACGGCATGCCTGGGTGTCGATATGGGCGTGTCCTGACCCCTCACGGTGTCCTGCCCTCACAGGTACCTGCTTTGCCCAGGCTAGGTCAGCAGCCACCGCACGCCCTGGGACCCCCGGACTCTCTCAGGCACGGAGGAATCCCAGTGGCTCTGGAGAGGCCGCAGCACCACCGGCTTAGTAAGGCCGTCTAGCAGTCCGGCTCCCCACCCCCTAGCAGTGCAGCTGCCTCCCAGCAGCCGCGGGGCAGTCCACTCACTGCCACCCCGCAGGCCAGGTTTCAAAGCCATGTTTTTAAAAAGGAGAGGAGACCTGGCCCTAAAGGTTGGGAGGTTTCTTGGGTAAAATATCCTCCTCCCTACACACAGTTCCAGCAGCCACAGTCTAGTTAAGGTAAGGGGCAGAAAGACAGACACACGGACACTGAGGTCAGAGCAGTGTTGGATACAAAAGGCTTGAGTGGACAGAGGACAGAGAACGGCTTTCATCTGCCCTGGGTAGAAAAAGCTTCACAGAGGTGAAGGCTAATAGGGTTTTAAAGGATGGATAGGAGTTCACCAAATGGACAGGGAAAGGCCCCCTGACTTTCACAGCTCCGGTGTGTCCTCTGTCACCACTGACCACTAGTGTGATGGCGAGGCTATGTCTGCTTGCTTGGGGGGTCAGAAAATACTTCAAGGGCAGGGAGTATGGCTCCCCGCTCACCTCTGGGGCCCCAAGGACCCAGCCCAGGGCCCATGGTGGTGCAGCTCCCCAGTAAATGAGAGCTGCCCCAGCACAAACCGCCCCATCAGCTGAACGGCTGCACAGGGTAGAGTGGTGGGGCCAGGCGGAGAGCGAGGGAGGCCGGGGCGAGACAAAGACCGGACGCCCACGTTCTCCCCGCCTTCCTCCAGCCTCGGGCGGCAGTGAAGTGTCACAGAACGCGTGAATACAGAGAAAGCTCGCCAGCGCTGGGAGGGCAGCGGCATTCCCATGGGCCGCTGGCTCTGCCTCACATGCCCGGTCAGTCAAGATGTGGCCACTGCCTTCCTCCCAGCCAAGGACACCGCATAAGCTTTCGCGGGCGGGGGAGGGCAGCGAGCACATCAGCTCCACTGTGCAACATGGAAGCGAACTGGCTTCTCGCTCCCTCAGAATTCACTTAGCACCTTGCCAGTTGTGTAGAGGCCGACGTGTTTAAACATTATTTCCCCCTCCCGGGAGCAACACTGCTGACTGCCTCCTACCTATGACGGAGAGCTAGCCGCGCAGCACGCGGGTGCCCGCTAGGCACGTGAGGCTGAGCGGTGTGTGCACCTGCTCGGGTGCTTCAGAGAGGTGAGTTGTGGGGACCAGCAGTTAGCGTCATGGCTATGTAGCTGGACTCTCATGTACCCAACCATGGTTCGAGTCCTGGACCCAGTGGCTTAAACTCAGTTGGGTGCGTGTGCATGCGTGCCCAAGATCCCGAGAGGAGAATGGAGGAGATGGGATTGCGGTGTGGCCATCCTCCCTGGGGGGTGATTTCTCACTTTCTGTCTCTCTGTCTCTCTCTTTCTGGTGGCCACATGTGCCCTATAGCAAAAACCTCTCCAAAAAAAATTCTCTGCTTTGCTGGTGGGGAAACTGGCACAGAGCCAGGAAATGCTGCAGCCAGCAGCCAGCAGCCCCCAGTGAGAGGGCTCGCCGGCATTTTCTGTGAGCTCAGAGAGGTGCTAACCCCACCTCTCCAAGGAAGCAGCCTCCTCAGAAAGAAGAGACAATGAGGGAGACAGGAGCTTCATGTGATTGGCACAGGATGCAGGAATCCTTGCTCTAGCACTCACTCCGCGGTCACTTCCTCTAAGCCAACCTGAGCCGGGTGCTGGGGACACCAAGACTTGGACTGGATCCTGCCCTCCAGCAGGGCCACCAGGCCCTTTGTGCACTAGGGCCCCCACACCTGCAGCAGAGTGGGGAACACAGTGGGTACTCAATAAGCGGTGTTGGCTGACCCATGGCCATGAGCCACGCACAGCATCTCAATGAGCATGTGCCAAGTGCCCGCCATGTTCCATACGCAGTTCTGGAGGCCAGGGGTGGACAAGGTGGCTTTGGCCTCTGGCTGCTGAAGAAGGAGAGATGCCGGCTGTCTCTGAGTCTTTCCAGCACAGCACCACTAACCACCCCACAGCACTCCTGGAGGAGAGGCCGCATGCCCACTCCACGCAGCAGACCAGGATGCTGACTCAAGCCAGCTTCCCTGGCTGGGATCCCACTTCTCAGTCTCCTCATCTGCAAAGGGGGGCTGATAATACAGTGCCCACTTTCTAGGGTTTGCAGAGCATTAAAAGGGCTACAATGCTAGGCACACACAGGCCTGTTAGAAAGGGCTTGTCGTATTCCAGAGGAGGAACCCGAGGCTCTTAGAGCTCACTGCCTTGCCCAAGGTCACACCACCAAGGAGTGACAGAGGCAGGTTTTGAACCATGGTCCTAGGACTCCGGAACTCATTTCTGCCACGTTTTAAGCCCCCTCTGTTAAAACAAACGAGTCCTTTTGCCTTTTCATTGTGCTGGGGCTGCTTTCAACGTGGGCTTCGTAAATGCTGTGGACATCACTGGGCCCAGGCTCCTTGGCCCCTTGGCAAAGGGCTGGGAGTCCACCAAGCTGACTGGCTCTCCTCCGGCTATGTCACGCGTTCAGCTGAGTGACTCTGGTGTGCTGCTCCCTTCCTGTGGGCCTCAGACTCCCCAGAGAGAGCAGGACGAGGGATGGTTTTGCTCCCCACCCTCGACGACAAGTGTGAGCGTGTTACCAACATGCATCGCCACACACACTCACAGGGCTCCAGGAGAAGCTCACCTCCAGCTTACTGGTGAGGAAACCGAGGCACAGAGCATTTCCCAGTGAGTAAACAGCCCCGCCAAGATCTCAGCCTGACTCTGGTTCACATCTCCAAGGCCCTGTAGGTCCTAAAATCCTCATGGTTTAACCAAAGCAGCATAAATGTGCTCGCCATTGCCAGAAGCTTCCGGACCCAGCATCTCACCTGCAGCGACGTTACTGTGGAGAGGTCCTTCAGTTTCCCTTCTTCGTCCTTCAGGTTATAGCCCTCTGGCCTTTTATCTCGTTCGGTAATCTTCCATAATTTGATAGTTTTATCTTTAAAAACAGAACCAAGTAAATTATGACAGAACTAGCCCATCCCAGTCAGCTCTGTGCTGCGCCAACCCACAGATGACTGACCGCTCCCCTGTTCTTGGACACGTGGGTTCTCGCTAACTTCACTCAAGATGTGAACAGGCAACGGACATTTCTCCATTTGTCATCGCTCTCTGATCTTCCCTCTTAATTGGTCCTCAGGTGAGATTGCTGGGTATGTCGCTTCTAAGGGTCATTGTCAACGTCTACACTGATTTTCAGAGGACGGAACCAGTGCACAGTCACTGACGAACAAGCAAGGGCAGTAGCCCAGCGGCACTCCTCCGTAAGCGGCATGTGTCCGCCCAGCGCCCGGCTCCCCAGGGGCCTCTCTCCTCTGGAGTTCTGCCAAGAACGTCACAGGAGAATTCCTCAGTCACTGTGCTGGGTCATTTTATCTGTCAGCTTCGCTAAGCCATAGGACCTGGATGTTTGGTCAAACACATCTGGGGTGTTGCCGAAAGATTTTTAGATAGACGAAAATTTAAACAGGCAGACTTTGAGTAAAGCAGATAACCCTCCATAAAAGGGGTGGGCCTCATCCCACCAATTAGGGGCCTGAATAGACAAAGGAAGACTGCCCCCCCACCCCCAAGGGAGAGGGGATTCTGCAGCCAAAGGCCTTCAGACTTGAGCTCCAACATCAGCTCCTCCCGGGGTCTCGGGCCCACTGGCCTACTGTGTGAGTTTGGTTCTTGCCAGCCTTCACAATCTGTGAGCAATTCCTTAAATTATCTATCAGTCATCTGTCTCTATCTACTCTCTATCATCTATCTATCCATCTATCCACCGACCTATCAATTTATCACCTATCTATCTCATCTGTCTATCATCTATCAATCTGTCGTCTATCACCTATCTATGTATCTCATCTAGATCTATCTACCCACCCATTTCTCATACCCTCTTGGTTCTGTCTCTCTGAGAACCCGACCACTACAGTAGCCAGAACAACCCCCGTCACGCTCATGAGCAAGAACCGGGGGAAACAAACACCAACGGAACACCTGACAGGCGTCCACGGTCACACCAGTAGGAAAGTGCGGAGCTGAGATTCAAAACCGGGGTAGGAAGCTTTGTGAGACGGGCGTGCAGGAGACCCCTAAAGCTGACTTTTCCTCCGGAGAGACAGGAAGAACGTGACAGGTCCTCTTACCCTTAAATGACTTTTTTAAAAAGGAAGCACAGGTATGAGGCTTGGCACTGTCCAATGCTCCTGTCCCGGGGCCTGCCATTGGGAGCAGAACAGGAGCCTCTGTCCCTGTACAGGGAGGGCTGGGGGCTTGGTTTGCCAAGCACAACCCTGTGCCAGACACCCTTGGGGGACACAGGTCTCAGCTCCCAGAGCCCAGCAGGAGCACACAGCCAGCACGGCAGGTGCCGTGCGTGTGTGGGGAGGAGCAAGCCTAGGCCTGGGAGGGGCTGGACATCACAGAGGGACACTGCGCAGCTGAGAGGTCGGGAAGTGACACCCGGGGAGGCTGATGTTACGCTGAGAGCCAGCCAGGCGAGGGCATCGAGGGCGGCCCTCAGGCGCAGGGCAGGCGGGCGGGAGCTGGTTATGGCCATTTTCAGGAAAGCCTTCAGGGTCCCGCAGTGGAGTCTGGACTTCCTCAAGGAAGGCATGGGTGACACCATCTTCCCATAACCCCGAGAGGGAGCTATGCCCACCCCGCTGGAAGGGCAGAAAATGGGGACTCAGGAAAGCAAGGCCACTTCCTGAGGTCGCAGTGCGGGGACAGAAGCCAAGTCTGTCTTGGGCTCTCCCTGCCCCCAGACTTCTGACTACTGGGGGCTGGGAAGAGGGGAGGGTGCATAGGGGGTGACTATGGGGAGCAGAGGGGTCTGCTAGAGCCACTCCCTCAGTGGAGTGCTGCGAGGCAGTTGAGGCCAGCCAGGCTCCTAACCCGGGGCTCCTAACCCAACCCCTAGCTATCATCTACCCAGCTACCATCTATTATCCATCTATCCATCAATCTTTCATCTAGCCATCTATGGTCTATCTATCATCTATCCATCTATCTATATATCATCTATCTATCATCTATCTATCCATCCATCTATCATCAATCTATCTATCATCTATCCATCTATCTATATATCATCTATCTATCATCTATCTATCCATCCATCTATCATCAATCTATCTATCATCTATCTATCTATCATCTACCCATCAATCTATCATCTATCCATCTGTCTGTCATCTATCATCTATCCATCTCTCACCTATCATCTCTCTGTCTATCTATCTATCTATCCATCCAGCCAGCCAGCCAGCCTTCTCTTTCTCAGGCCCTCTTGGGTCCCTCTCTGCTCCTCACGCCCCACCCCTCCCCATCAAAGGGCAGCACAAGTCTGGGTTGTTTGGAATTTGGGGTGCAGGATGAAGAGCTCAGTTTGTGTCAAGTGTTCATGGAGTTCCTAACCCGGCACCTGCATCAAGAACACCAAGCTCCCTAACACTCACAAAAGTGCTCGCAATGGCGTCCAGACAGTGCTGTGTATCACAGTGGGAATGACCCGGGCCACTCCAGGACTAGCCGGAATTGGACGCTGTTTCCATGCCGCCCAGGATGCTGCCCTCCAGGCATCCTAAAGGCCTGGGAAAGCGCTCACTGTGCCGGGGAAGTGGAAGACAGCCCTGGGAGCGCCCGCGTACACGCACACGCAGGCGGCGCCTCACCGTTGGTGGACAGCAGCGAGTGGGCCGCGTTCTGCTGCGGGAGCCATTTGATCTTGTTGATCTTCTCCTCTATCTCCAGACTCTTGAGATAGTCGAACTCTGGCTCGTGGCTCTGGAAAGTGCTGTAGACGTCGTACTCACCCTGGCTGTGAGGTGCATTTTTACTCTGCAAGGAAACCCCAGGGAAGGAGCCTGAGCTCCAAGACGGGCAAGGCCAGTGGGTCCGGCACAGTTTAAGGGGCCAAGAACTTGCTGTGCAGCACGGCCACGCCACAGCGCCTCATGAGCTCGGTAAGGACCGCATCTGAGCGAGCGCCCCTCACGAGCGCCTTGTGTCCCAGACGTGCAGTGAAGGCTCCCCACGCCTCATGCCATCCTATCCTCTGAGCATGCCTCTGTGGTGGGCACCATGACTCTCCCGTGTTACAGGCCAGGAAGTGCAGACTCAGAGCGGATGGGCCTTCCAAGGCCATATGTCCCTGAGTCACTCCACTGATGACTGTTTTATGCCAGTGCCAAGCTCTCGCTACCCCTGTGTCCCAGACCCTGGCCTGTCCTCAATTCTGTGCATGGCTCAAGTCTGATTCATGAAGGGGAATCATCTGGGAGAGCTTCACTGGGGCAAAATACCCTGCCATGACAGACCTGGGAGAGAACGCAGCTCTCAGAATTTCTGGCGTTTCTCATCCTGGCCGAGGAGACAGCTCTCCTTATAAAGACTCTCCTGGGGCTGCGCCTACATGCGGCGGTCAAGGGAGCTGATCCCACATGGCCGGACATGGGTAGTGGAGACCAAGAGCTTAGGTTGTGTCAAGTGTTTACAGGTTTCCTACCCTGGCCCCTGTTCAGGAACACCAAGCACCCTATACTCCAACATTGGCAAGACCCAGCCTCAGTGACTTGAAAAACACACCAGGTGTGTGTGCATGCATGCCCCAAATCCTGACAGGGTGGAGAAATGCAGAAGGGATGGCAGTGTGACCATGTCCCATTGGGGGCTGTGCCCTGTCTCGCTGGCAAGTATATACATACTTTAGCCATGAAAAGAATTTTAAAAAGAGGCCAGCAGGTGGCATGCATGTGGTTAAGGCACTGGACTCCCATGTGGCTGACTATGATGTGAGTCCCAGACATAGTGGTGTGAAACTCATGCTGGGGGTGGGTGTACATGCGTGTGTGCCCAAAATCCTGAGGGGAGAATGGAGGAGAAGGGATTGCAATGTGGTCATCTTCACTGGGGGTGATTTCTCACTTTCTGTCTCTCCAGCAAGTGCATGTACCCTATAGCAAAAACCTCTCAAAAATAGAAATAAACACAGACTGGGCCAGCAGGTGGCATGGTGGTTGAGGCAATGGACTCCCACATGGCCAACTGCAGTTTGAGTCTGGGACCCAGCAGCTTAAAATTCTCACCAGGTTGTGTGTGTGTGTGCCCAAAATCCTGAGAGGAGAATGGAGGAGGAGGGATTGCGGCATGGCAGTCACCCCGGGTGTGATTTCTCCCTTTCCTTCTCTCTCTGTCTCTCTCTGGAGAGCACCTGTGCCCCACGGAAGAGACCAAATAAATGAATAAAGCAGACTCCTGGTGGAGTCTCCAAAATAATACAGCAATGGGCCCACGGCACACCAGGGGTCATTTTCTCAGCAGACATTTCAAGTTTCTTTTTTTTTTTTTTTTTTTTTGGAGAGGTTTTCACTATAGGGCGTGTGCACTCGCCAGACAGACAGACAGAGGCAGAGAGACAGAAAGCGAGAAATCACCCCCCAGGGGGGATGGTCACGCCACAATCCCTTCTCCTCCATTCTCCTCTCAGGATCTTGGGCACGCACGCACACGCGCCCGGCGTGAGTTTTAAGCCACCAGGTCCGGGACGTGAACTGCGGTCGACTACGTGGGAGTCCAGCGACATAGCCATTACGCTAACTGCTGGTTCCCGACATTTCAAGTTTCTATGAAACTACTCCAGGGACAATGTCAAGCTTCCCTGTTAATTTTTCTTTTATATTTTTATATTTCTATTCCCATCTTGCCTTTGAAGTTTTAACATTCTTCAACATTTTGGCCTCAAATTCACTTCATCTCTCATAAGCACTATCTGTGACGAAGGTCACCAGGACCAGAATGAAGAAAAGAATGAAATGAATTCAAAATTGAGAAATTTCTATCTACCAGTGTAACTTCTCTCTGCCATTGGACAAAAGACAGCCTTGCAGTCCCTGCTGGGATGCTCCGGTCCAGCTTGTGAGCCCCATACGCCCAGCCACGGTGCCGACCAGATGACTAGCCGTACTGTCGGTAGCTCACACACATCTTCGGGACCCTCTTCTAAACCCTCTGTGCTCCTGTCCCCTCACCTATCAGATGAAGATAAATATAGCATCTAATTGCACCCACGGGGTTGTTTTGAGGGATGCTGTGTGTGCAAACAGGGCAGAGTCAGACTCTAGGGACCCCAGCCTGGGCCCCCGCAGAGGAGGAAGGGAAGGAGACAATGGCCCGCTTCTTTTCTTCCCCCTGCTTCATCCCCTCCACTTTCTCTTCTCCTCTTGCACCCCCCTTCTTTCCTTTCCCTCCCCCTTGTTTTCAGGAATGTCTTCTACATCTATCCCCAGCACGTGTCTGATGGGAAGAGGCTCCTTGCTGGGGCCAGCTCTCAGAATGCTGTGTAAGTGACCACGTTGCTATGGGTTGGATGATTCATCCCCCAAAGGTTCATGTTTTGGAGTTCTGTCACCAGTATGGCACGGGGAGGTGGCAAGATCTTTAAGAGGTGAGGCTCAGTGGGTGGTGTTTGGATTACCGAGGCACCACCCTCCTGAATGGATCCTCACAAGATGGAGCAAGGGCGGGACCAGCAGTTAGCGTAATGGCTATGTCGCTGGACTCCCATGTAGTCAACCGCGGTTTGCGTCCCGGACCCGGTGGTTTAAAACTCATGCCGAGCGCGTGTGCGTGCGTGCCCAGGATCCCAGGAGGAGAATGAGGGAGAAGGGATTGCGGCGTGACCATCCCCCCCGGGGGGTGATTTCTCACTTTCTGTCTCTCTGTCTCTGTTGGTCTGGCGAGTGCACGCGCCCTATAGCAAAAACCTCTCCAAAAAAAAAAAA